CACAAAATCCACAATCCAACAAAGGGCACACAAAACAGAGCCAAAATCAAAGAAAACCGTCCAACAAAAATTTAATAGCTTGACGTTAATGGAAATTGTTTAAGTGGAAAAAATGCAACTGCAACTGCAACCGCAACTTGAAACGGCAGTTGTAGCGGCATCTGGCCACAGCCAAGGCGCCTCTTTCCCATAATGATAATTATATGTCCATAGAATGTAAATATATTTTTGTTTTTGGCATCTGTTTTCACCAGACGACGCAAGACGAGTCATCCTTCCCAGACATTGTCATTGTCATGGCCAGAAGAAAACGCATCCAATCGAATCATCATCAGAGCCCGCGACTGTCTGGCAGTGACATTGTCTTTCCGCTGGACAGGGGAAAGGCGAGAGGTGAGTAAAAGGTTTAAGAGATTCCGCTAATTCCGGACTCATTTTACGAGTCGTAAATGCTTGATTCTGCTGCCTTGAGAGTCTCAGAGAATACACAGAAAAGTGCTTGAATTGTTGTTAATTTGTGTTTTTAACTTAATTATTGGAATGTGTGTTTTAGTGTTTTTTAGAATGTATATATACTCTCTGGTACATCTGTCTACTGCATAGTAGTGAAATATGGCTCTAAAACGAAGCAGCCTGTGATTAAAGTATTCAATTTCAAACAGTTGGAATGCTTTTTGGTCAAGGCTGAAATTCCTTTACAAGGTACAAGAATTTTTGATATATTTTTTACAGTCTGCTGCAAGTGTAAATCAGAGAGACAAATATCATTCAATTTCGATTGTTGATTGACTGCTCATTCTTCTTCGATAATATGTCGAAGGATACAACTTTTCAGTTCTCCAGAGACTGCAGATCGAGCGCTTTTCTGTTCCTGTTTATGTTTATCACCCCCCCTCAATGCCCTAGCAAGCATTTGGCATTGTTTTCTTGGTGTTAATATTGCTTGGGAGATTCATAAATTTTCAATTTCTGGCTTTTGTGTGTTTTGTGGCTGACACAATTTCGCAGGCATTTCATTTGGTTAAACAATTTTCGCATACTCCCTCCCTCCCCTTCCCCACCGCCATCACCCATGTACACATTCCCATTGTGCGTTCAATAAACTAAACTATTGTTAATGTTAATCGTATTGTTGTTTTTGTTGTTGCTGATTGTTGTTTCTGCATTTGCAATCATTGAAATTTTTCGTTGAATTTTTAAGTTGTTTTTGCTGTGCAGCACAAAGTACGATATTTGTGGCATCTCCATTGTGTGTGTGTTTGTGGCAGTTGCATTTGGGTCAACGGGTGAATTATGCATGGAAGGTCTTACCAGGAGGTGCCCATCCACAATCCACAATCCACAATCAACAATCAACAACCAGCAGGCTGCTGTGGAAGGTCAAAAGGCGACAGCGGCTCGATCAGACACGATCGAACACGATCTTCAAAAGTACCACAAAAATATTCAAAGTCAAGTTCATAGTCAGTTCAAAGCCACAACGAGAGATGAAACAAGGAAGCAAACGCAAATGCAAACACCGTCAACAACTGTAAATGTGTAGATGGGGCGCAGGCACAACAGCTGTTGAGTGCCACCTGCATACCCCCCCCCCCCTTCATCCAACACTGCCCTGCCCTTCCCTTGGACGTGAAACGGAACCACTCTTGAGGCTTCAGTCTGCAGCTTCCATCCTCGCCGCTGGCAATCAATCCACTTGACTCCGTGAATGATCCATTGATGCTGTACGTTCAATCGTTCAATCGTTCATCGTTCATCATTCACCCTTCGCACGCGTTTTTTGTATTGTTTAAATATTTAAGTGCTGAGCCGAGCCACTCCTACCCCCTAATAGTCTGTTTTCTGGCCAGGCATTGACATTGGCCTAAATTTAATAAATTTTTTTGTTTTTTGGTTTCGTTTCACACACAACAATTTGTTGGAGGCTTAGAATTAGACGTCGCGACGCTGCTGCCGCGTGGTATGACACATCTGTTCCGCAGAAAGCTGCGATGATTTCATTGTGATTCTCTCCCATCTCTCGCTCTCGCTCTCTCTCTCTCTCGCTCTCTCTCTCTCTCTCCCTCTCTCTTTCTTTCTTTCCTTACTTGAATTTTGTGAATTTTTTTAATGGGTTTCTACAACTGATTTTGGCCAGAAAAGGCGCACATTATGAGGAAGTCGTCGTGCCACACGGGCAGGCACGCTTCCACCAATAAACGACACAGAGCCATAGACGCATTCATTGTACACCTTCCATTCCGCCGTCTTTGCACCACATTACTTTAACAATAGCAGAAACAATAACAGAATAAATAAGCGCAGATTATGCACAGTTTATGAAGCGACTGAAGGATGCCCATCATTTGAATCCAAAGATAAATTAAATGATTAAATGATGGAGAAAATAGAAATATGCAAATAATAATACAATAAATAAATATATTGAAAATAACATTTGTTAAAGTTTCTGCTTAAAAGATTTCTGGTGATAGATCATGGCCATAAATTAATGAATATGAAAGTTAATACAAATCATAATTATTTCCCAAACCTAATTCCCCATTCTGAATGTTTGGTCTTTTGTATGCAACAAACCAACCCACCAACCCAGCACGATCTACGATTCTGTACATTAACAGGGTAAACCTTTAACTGAAACAACAGTAGCTGCAGTAGAGCCGACACAGAGGCCTATGGAGCAGAGCAGAGCAGAGCGGAGGAGCTGAGCAGCTGATTCAGAGTCTCTCTGTTGATTCTACTTGGCGTGTGGCCCCTATGCCCGTTCGTCCAGTCATAAACTGGTTTAACGACTTCCAAGACTATAGAACAGAGACACAGATGAAGTGTTGGTTGGCTGGCAGGGGGGAAGTGCGTCAGGTAGCAGCTGGCCCTGCCATGTCCCATGTCCATTTTCATTTCCATTCGCATTTCCAATTTCAGCTACACAGATACAGAGCAACAGCAACAGCAACAAAAATGATAATCAGACAATTGAGGCTGCACTTGGACTTGAAATTCATTTAATACTCCGACCGTGAGTCAGAGACCTCCCCCCACGACAAATCATCAATAGATCGAGAGAGAGAGAGAGAGAGAAAGAGTTGTCCTACCGCTGTCCACAAGTACTTTTCCCGACCGATAAGATAATAGTAACAGCAACAGCCATAACGACCGATAAAAGACAACTACTGCTGCTTAGTCAGAGCCACTCCAGACAAAGAGGGTGAGTGAGGGAGAGATAGGGGGGTGCAATAAACAATACATGGAAGCATCAGAATCAGTGCATGGAAGTTGGCAAAGTGTAAATGATTTAATATACGAGGCACCCAGGCACACCACACAGGCAACCAGGCAATTGGCAATCCAGTTAAGAAAGGCAGCTAACTGTAAAGAAAACTGCCTGCCAGCTGTAGATAAAATTTAATCGCTTATGATTGTTCATTGCGATTGTTCCATATGTGTCTGGCTATGGCATGGCATGGTATTCATAGTTTAGGCTCCATTTTTAGTGGCAAGAGCAAATCGATCATTTAGCACCCCAGAGAGATACATACATATGTACAAACGCTGAATGGCTGAGCTGGACTGGGCTGGGCTGGTTGCCTTGCTTCTAATTGGCAGAAGCCTCGCTTTGGCTGTGGCTTTGGCTTTGCCTTTGCCATGCATGTGCATGCCCGTGTGTTTGTGTGTGTGCAAGTGTTTGCTATCCCGCTTAACGGTCGTTTATAACGAGCAGCTGTAAAGCTGAAATCAGCCACTGCGCGGGGTGTATCGAGTAGCCTCTCTATGGAGCACCTGGAGCAAGGACCTGCAGCAGCAGCAGCCAACATTCCCATCCCATCCCATCCCACACATCCACATCCCATTTCCATTTCCATTCCTCTCCTGCGTTGTTGTTTGACTTTTGCTTTATTGATTTTTAGCAGCAGGCAGAGACGACAGGTTCCAACACTCGCACAGGCACGCACGAGCTCGCTCGCACGCTCGGAACCAAGGGAAAACACACCCTTGGCTGAATCTGTATTTTTTTGTGTTTGTGTATCTGTATCCCTGTAGCCCTTGGATACCAAGACAGTAACAAAACCGCCTACAGCCAGAGTTAATTAGGTAAAAGGCGACCCGGCCCGCTCGCCACCACAAGCAGCTAAGAGCTCGGGCCCATGGTCCTTTTATTTTCGGTTGCCCAAGGATGTCAGGGGACAAGTTACATCACTTTCAAATGCGATTCATTTTCGAAATGGAACTCACTTTGTGGCTCAGCAGCAGTTGATTTCGGCTGTTCGTGTCTTAACAATATTGCACACCAGACGCGCGCGACACTATCAAACCACAAGAGCACGCAAAAAACACACGCAAAAAAAATAACACTCAGCGCCACCTTGCTGTGGCACGAACGGTATTAAGGCGACTTGACTCACGGCGTAACGGGCGGTTCTGTGCAGTGTGACCGCTGCGTTTTCGATCAAATACATCCGCCTGACACTCAAAAACATACCAAATATATCGTCGCAGTTTAAAGATATACCGCAAATATACCGATGAAAGTTGAATTTCTCAACTTTGATATTTGATTAGATTTAACAAGCTAGTTCGAACTTTTAGCACTGAACATGTAACTTAATCCGATTGATGAATTAATTCTACACAAATTAGCTAATTTTAAGATCCCCTTTTATTGTATTTTTTATGAAATGAGCATTAAACAGAAGAGGTGAAAAAGAGTAATTTTTTACATGGTAACTACACGGTCACGACACATTTGCTACATGTAAAAAACATATTCATGGAGGAGCAACCAATGCAGTGCGGTTCTTTTTAATCAATTTCATCATTCCCTGAAACTAAATTTTGGAGCTACATTAAATTATAATCTTTCCATAAAAATGTCGATATTTTTGTATTCGAACCTAGTCTTTTCGCTAGTTCAAAAAGGCTAAAATCATTTCAACAACTTTATACGGTATATTTACGGTATATGTTCAAAATTGGAAGGTTGTTTTGAGTATCAGGCGGCATATATTATCGATAGCGGAGAGCGGTCACACTGCCTTTAAACTCCGTTCCAAACATCAAAAAATAGCAAAACGAGACGCCAAACAACTGGATGCAATTTTACAAATTGCCCTCGATAATCCTGTAAAAGGTAAGATCAGCTCAATGGCCCCTTGGTTATTCGGAAGCCGCCGTTTGTTGGCAACTTCTGTAACCAGTTGTTCCGCTCTAAAATGGCGGAATTTACCGAAATCCGCACATCGCGTCATTTTTTTTTGCGTCTGTTGCTGGCGCACTGGCACTGTGCCGTGGTTTACTGCAATTCAGATAAATTGTGCCTGTGTGTGTGCGTTTTTTTGTATAAGCCATGTATGTGTCTCGTCTCCCCCGCAGCATCATCGGCAGCCGGTGCTACCCCAACATTACAGATGTCCTACTTTGGCGTCTACATTCCGCCATCCAAGGCTGGCTTCGAGGGCACCGCGGCCCAGTGTGCGGGCTCCATAGCGGCGGTGAATATCAAGCCAGTCCCAGAGTCTTCGTCGTCGTCGGCCACCATCAACAACACGACAGTCATAGCAACAGCAGATTATCCCAATGTGGACAGCTATGAGGATCCCGAATATCCACGTAAGTGCGTTGTTATTCGCTCCGGTTTCGGTTACCGTTTCATTTTTTTGTGCTTGTTTTTTGTTTTCTTGTTTTACGGTTATACGCTTGTTGCTTCCAAAGAGCGCGCGCGCGGTGTGTGCACACATCCATGACTAAGTGCTTTTGTGTGTGTGCGCGAGAGCAATCCCAAGAAATTCTCGAGGTTTTCGCAGCTGTTTCGCTCGCACAGTCGATTCCCTCCATCAATATCGGATCGCCCGCCCCTACATGGCCGTAAACCATTAACAAAATGTCGCAAAATGCAATTACACGGCGATCCCACACCCCTTCCCAACTGCACCTACACATCCGTCGCGATGTTACTTTTCTCTCTTCCTTCGCCTAATCCAATTAAATGCGTTGTTTACCAGCGATTAACTCTGGGCCTGGAAAGCCCCACACCACCTCCGCTCCCATCAACAGGACCTTGGCCTGACTTCCACCCACCACGTCGCACATTTATTGCTGCCTTTAGCATTGCGCATTTTACCTTACAAAATATTCTTCACTTTTCGAGTGTTATTTATAAAGCCAGCTGCACAGAGAGTGCTGCGAGCCACCAAAAAATAAACCAGCCTGTGGTGTGTGCGTATGCGTATGCCCCGGATCCAATATTTATATATCCCCAGCTAATGTGTCGAATTCTGCCCCGGAACAATTGTGTTCCCTGTCCCTGTCTCTGTCACTGTTTGTTTGCCCCAACCAACGCCAACAAAAAATGCAACAAAATTCAGTTGAAGTGTCGTTGCCCACCAAATAGAAACAAAAGAAGTCTAAAAGAATGCAAAACATATCATAAACGGTATGCCGAAATTGTAATACCCTCTTAGTATTTATTCTGGTTGCCTTAATTTAGTCCTGTACTTTAAATGGATATCTTGAGTGCAACCTGTTCTGTGCTATATTCCATCGATCTTTAAGTGTGTATTAGATTACAGTTCTGTTCTTGGTAAAAATTACATTTTTGTTGTTTTACCAACACTGTTCTCTTGCTATCTCTTTCTTTGATAGTGCATTTCTCGTATGAAATCAATCTTAGGGTAGGCTATATATCGCCTTGATACCATAAAAATACTATTTAAATTTCGAAGAAAGATATTCTAATCCATTAAAAGCTTGACTTGTTGCTTGTTCGATCAGAAAAGTAAGCAAGTTCTGTAGAATCGTCGGTGAAACGTCTGAAATATGGCAAAACAGATGGCAAATGAACAACCAATTCGGCGTAATTTGCCCGTCTGCCAAAAGGCAGGGCAATGTTGCCGGCACTTGTGCCAATAACTGCGTCACACGCACCCCAATAGCGCGGCGACCTCTCCCGTGCCATCCATCTCTCTGCTTTTTTTGTGGTTGTTGCTCCCTCTGAGCATTTGATTTTGTTTTGCTTACCACATTTCGCGCCTCATCTGGCAATCATTCCACTCATTCGTCATTTGTCTGTCGCCTTGCCATTTCCCACATTTCGTTATTCTCTGCCATTCGAATGGCGTGACTAGTCGCGACCAGTGTAGCGTCTGCTGCTGTTGGTAGCTCAATTTATTAATAATATAAGCACCTCTTTGATTCTGATGTCAAAACCACCCACAGCCGACTCGCCTTTGTGGCTGATCTTTACCGACAAATCCAAGGCACTGGATGTGCTGCGACACTACAAGGAGGCACGACTGCGTGAGTTCCCCAATCGCGAGCAGGCTGAAAGTTACGTGCAGTTTGGATTTGAGAGCATCGAATCTTTGAAGCGTTTTGGCAAGGCCAAGCCAGTGAGCAGTAAGTGCTGACAGACACAGAAAGATTGTTGTGTATCTAATCTAAAGAATTTTTCCTTTCACAGAGCCACTAGCGATGAGCAACAACTTTAAGGCGTCGTCATCGGGATCGACAGACGGTCCGTACTCAACCTCTCCCACCGCCATCAGCAGCCTGGCTGCCTCCATGTCGAGTCGGCTCGTTGTGACTCCACCTATAGCTTCGCTGCCCAGCATCAGCATCAATATAAGCAGCAACAAAAGTGCCTCCAATGTATCGATCAATGGCAGTACTACCACAAACAGCCACAGTAACAGCAACAGCAGTGGGACTGGGCCTGGGACTGGGGCCAAGCATGAGGCAGGAACTAGCAGTAGCAGCAGCACCGGTGAGCGTCCACCATTCCGGGCACCCAGCAAGCAAGAGCTTGTCGAGTTCCGTAAACAGATTGAGACTGGTAACATCGAGCGAGTGCAGCGCATTGTGTGGGAGAATCCCCGATTTCTAATCAGCAATGGGGACACACCCACCAGCCTAAAGGAGGGCTGCCGCTACAATGCCATGCACATTTGTGCTCAGGTCAATCAGGCGCGTGTCGCCGAAACTCTCCTCAAGATCATTACCGATCGCGAGTTCACACTTCAATATGCCGGCAAGAAGGCCACCGGGGAGATGTGCGCCACCCTCAATGACAATCTGCTCGACTACTATTTGAATATGCCCGACAAGGCGCGCGGTGAGACGCCCCTACATTTTGCGGTCAAGAATGGACATGTGGCCGTCGTTGAAGTTCTCATTTCGTATCCACAATGCAAGTCGTTGGCCAACTTTGAGGGCAAAGAGCCCAAAGATGTGAGTCGTAAACAAAGTAAAATCCCTGTTACAATCTCGCTAATATCTGTCTCTGTCACACAGATCATTTGCTTGCGTGCACCACATGCCGCGCCCGAGGTTTTCCAGAAGTTGTTGCTACTCTTGGGAAATCCGCACTATGTGCCCGTGCTGAGATCCGCGGCCAATGAGGTGCCGCCACAGGTGGGCCAACCCTTTACGCCCAATAAACCGCCGGTGAGTAGGAAAGGAAATGTACTTAAGGCAAAACATTAATCTCTTACCATTTATGTAACCATTTAGAACTTGCAGCAAAAGACAAACGAGCACGAGGGCCTCACCACGGACTTGACCATCAGCGCATTGGCGGGACCCATGTCGCGGGAAAGGGCCATGAATTTCTATCGTCGCTGGAAGACACCGCCACGCATTGGCTCTAATAATATGTCGCCGTTGGCCATTTCACCATTTTCATCGCCCGTGAAGGTGACGCCCACCAAGTCAATCTTTAATCGCAGCTTGAATGGCAATGGCGGCGGAGCAGGTAGTTCGTCGCCTCTGGCATCCTCACCTTCGGGGCGACGTACGCTCTTTAGCCCAAAAGGAGTGACCACCAGCTCGCCAAAACCATTGCTGCTCGATGGCAAGGATTGCGTGAACAACAACAATAATAACAACAACTGTCTGATCAAGCCAATGGGTGGATCAATGGAACTGCCAGGCACACCACTACGTCAGATGAAGCCGGATTTATTTATGGCCTATCGCGAATCCTCACTCTGCCTTGATGACAGCATGCTGGAGATCGATGCGAGCATGCGGGACATGAGCATCAGCATGCACAAGAGCATAAATTTGTCGCAGATGAACGATAGCTTCCGCGAGCGTCACATTAAGAACTCGGACATTGAGAAGGGCCTGGAGGTGGTGGGCCGACAGCTGGCACGTCAGGAGCATCTCGAGTGGCGCGAATACTGGGACTTTCTCGACTCGTTCGTGGACATCTCCACACCGGCTGGCCTGGAGAGACTGGAGGTCTATCTGCAGAAAAAGGCCGAGCAGGCGCAGGCCGCCGAGAAATCCGATCAGGAGTGGAGTTTTATCCAGTATCTGGATATGGTCACAGGCGATCAGCGGCAGCAGCAGCAAAAGCATCGCACGGGCAAGGCTGTGGCGTCGCCGGCTGCTGCTGGCGGTACCACCACCCAGGTGATGACGCCCTATACATGCGTGGAGAAGTCCCTGCAGGTGTTCGCCAAGCGCATCACCAAGACACTCATCAACAACATTGGCAACATGGTCTCCATCAATGACACCCTACTCTGCGAGCTTAAAAGACTGAAATCGCTGATTGTTAGCTTCAAGGACGATGCACGATTCAACATCGTGAACTTCACCAAGGTTCACTCCCGCATTGCCCATCTGGTGGCTAGCTATGTGGACCATTCGCAAGAGGTCAACGTGGCCATACGCCTGCAGCTGCGACAGATGCTGCGTCGTCTCCTTCAGCTGCATGATGAGCGGCGCGGGCATCTGGGCTGCGTCTGTGCCAGCCTCCTTCTGATGCTTGAAGAGGCCCCCGACCATGCCGTTCAGCTGCCTGATGCCCTCAAGACGGAGGCTGGTTGCTTGTTCGCCTGGCAAGCGGAAGAGTCTTGCGCCTGCATTTGGGATGCGAATCTCAGTCGAAAGACCAGTCGACGAAAGCGCACGGAATCGATGAAGCGTGCAGCAGCCGAGGTTCAGGATTCACCAGGACCGGGTTCTCCCACAGCCACAGTGGCAGCAGCTGCCAATGTTTTGCGTGCCAAAGTCCAGGACGGGGCATGGCAAAATGTCGACAACGACGATGATGAGGATAGCAGTGATGAGAATTGCTTTGTAAGTGGAAGCCCATAATTGAAAGTAACTTTTGCTCAAATTGTATGGCCACCTTGCAGTACGATGCCCTAGATGCTCCGTGCCCGGAGCAGCAGGTTAGCAGTAGCGAGGATGAAGAGCAGTTCCATACGCCGGACCAGTACATGTCACCGCGTGCATCCATCTCTCTGGAGACTCGCTACGAGCTGTTTATCTTTGGGTGAGCTTTAAACATGAAATCACCATAATAATATCGAATAATAACCGAAAAAACCCTTGCAGTAAGGAGCCAACCAAGCGCGATTTGGATGTCCTGAATGCCATTTTCCATGTGGATGTGGAGAAGGAAACACTGCCGCATGTTCATGCCTGGAAAGCGGTCATGGAGAACTATCCCGAAGCTGAAATGGATCTGTAAGTCATCTCTGTTCCTTTATTCTGAGTTTGCGCTCTCACAAAAGTGGTTCTGTTTTGTTTCTTTTTTGCACGCAGTTTCCCATCGCCTACGAAGCCAACGCTTAGCCAAAGCTCGATCCAACCAAAACGCCTGTTTTCCACACCCAAACTCAATGTGGTGTCAGCGCCACCATCGAATGGCCTGGCGGCTGTCAGTGAACCAATTCAGAATCCAGTGTGCCAGCCAGTAGCTGCCGCACCAGTTGCCTCCCCAGTGCCAGCATTTGCAGCGGCTGCAGCGGCAACCGTGTCGCAGTCATTCCATACGCCAATCAACAAAGTGCGCGGCCTGTTCAGCAAGTATCGCGAAATGCGGCCGACTTTTGACGATGATTCGCTGCTCGTCAATGTAAATGGTGGGCGGCTGCCGTCACGCCGGTCATCGCTGACCCTGGACGACAGCAGTAAATAAGGATATTGCGATATCCTTTTGATACACTGCACACATCCCAGCCCACTCTACAATTTTGTTCATGTTGTGCAGACACTCGTTCGTTCGTTCGTTCGATCAGTCGTCCCACATACACATATAGTATATATATATATAAATATAATCAATAATCAATAAATCGAAAGATCGTGTTTGTAAGTGTAAGCTACGTTGATCTAATTATCGTATTATATAAATATATTTTTTTTATACCCGTCTAAATGTCTACAGAAATAAAACGCAAAAGTGAACACTCGAAATGTACATTACTGTGAAGAAACAAACAAATAATTTAAACATAAACTAAATAATCAACAGTATTCGTGTCTCAAACCAGACCTGATCCTGAAATACAAATTGATAAAATATATACAATTTAGTTTGAATATATCTTACCTTTATCTATAAGCGTGTCCGAATGCCATCTGTAGCTTCCTTCTCGTTGGGTTGGGTTGCGTTTTTCTTTTTATATAACTATTACACCGAAGTGTCCAATTTTAAGTGCAAAGAAAACAAATTTCGATATTATTCTGCAGCGATATTATTTTCCAAATGGATTGAAATTAGTTTAAGAAATAATAATTAAATGAAGTGAATGAACTTTTAATATTTTCAAACCTTTTTAAATTAGCAAAAGTTAATTTTTGCATTAATTTTCATACAATAATATATGTATGTACTTTCCTTTATTGCTTTCCTGTTCTGTCGCAAGTTCTTACATAGTCAATCATCTAGATAAATAGCCCAGATCAAATGCTAATGGAATATATTTTGAAACGTTTATTAATCCATGGAATTTTTCGTCACATGCAAAAGTGCTTGAATAATTGTATAAATCATATTTGATAGAAATTTAACCCATTTAGAGGGACATCAAATGCATCATTGAAATGCAATTAAACCTAAGAATTTGTGTGCCAAATAATTCAAAAATGTAGATATGGATTCTCTGGCCAGTTCAGGCACCGCTTAGTCGCTCACACTCCTCCAAGCAGATGTTTTCTGGTGCTGCTGTCATTGATGGCCTGCCTGATGTTCTGCTGATTTTCGAGCAGGCTTTATTTGTTTCGTGCGGTGGTGGTGCTGGCGGCGCGGCTGGTCGTTGGTTTTTCCTCTTCGTTTAAAGGGATCATCTTCATATTTCCTGGGGTCCTGGCTTCTTGGGGTTTGTGCTGGGGTTTGGATTGGGGTTTTGGTGTTGGAGTTGGTTTGCATAAATTTGGTATCGGTCTGCCAGTTTGTGGAGCCGGAGGTTGTGCGTTTGCCTTTGCTGTTCTCAAATACAATTTCTCTTCCAGCTCTTGGAGTTCCTTGGTTAATTGATTAGCTTTTTCCAATGTTATTGGCGGATCGATGTTTCCACTTAGGAGCCACTTGATTTTCGAAATCCTCTTTTTTATAAAAGTACTCTGACCCCCACGATGGGGTCTCTTATTTCTATTCACAACTTCGATCGGTTTTTCGGCCATTTTAAAACTTTATTGATATTAACTGTATGTTCACAACCACAACACAACCACAGCCAGAATGTATAGGAATTCTCTAGATTTATTTCTCCTTTTTCTTGCTATGTAGCTAGTGACAAACTTCCAGAGAGGCTGGCTGTTCTTACGCTGCCCTTGCTGCGAAGTTGAATGTTACGTCTATGCCATTGATTCTCATAATTGAGAGTGTTGATTCGGAGTGCTCAAAGTCAGTTGAATCAAAGCTCACCTCCTCAAGAGAGTGGGGAGTAGAGTTCGCTCGTGGAGCCCACGAAGAGCGTAAGATTGCATTTGAGCTCGTACTTTTGAGCGTGTGTATTTGGCATTGATTACAGTCTGGGAGGGAGTATGATCGAAATGCATGGATCAGCAATTATGCGTCTATGGTATGTGCTCGGTCCATGATGCTGTATATGCATTTGTGTACCTATGTAAATATGTATGTTCTTTTCGTTAGTCGAAAATAAAGCTGCAGGGGCACCAATTTCTAGTCACAATTCTTTGGCTTTTATTTATAAGCATTAGAGAACAAAGCAGGCCGTTTCTGTCAGTTAGTTAGTTACAAGCCGCATTCGAAACATATTCTAAATTATAGCTCCTGAAAATCATCTAGAAAAATAATTCCGAAACATCAGCATTCAGCATGCTCCGGAGAAAGTGCAAGCCCGCAGTTATGACTCAGTGCCGTGACTGCTGGCGACTCTACCAAGCGACCCCAAGCCACATGCAGACGGTAAGTGTTTATGGTTGATGGCCAATGCGGGTAAGTTTGTCTATTAATGAATCTTTACCTCCAGCGCCAGTTCAAAGTGGCAGTTATAGGAGCAGCCGGTGGCATTGGCCAGCCACTGGCTCTGCTGCTGATGACCAACAAGCTGGTGACAGAGCTGGCCGTGCACGACCTCGAGGATACCACGGGCTTCCGCAAGGACCTGTCGCACATGGACTCAGGCTGTCAGGTGAAGGCGTACTTCGGATCAGATCAGATGAAAACGGCCATCAAGGGTGCCGACATCGTGATGATTACCGCGGGAATGCCACGAAAGCCGGGCCAGACACGCGACTTCCTGTTCGACACAAATGCCCCCATAGTGGCGAAGGCTGCTGCCCTGGTATCGGAGCACTCGTCCCATGCGCTGGTGGGCATCATCACCAACCCAGTGAACGCTGTGGTGGCCGTTGCAGCGGAGGCAATGAAGAAGTGTGGCAGGTATGACCCTAGGCGTCTCTTTGGGGTAACCACACTGGATGTGGTGCGGGCCGAGAAGTTCATTGGGGACCATATGGAAATCAATCCAAGAAAGGTGCGGATACCCGTGATCGGCGGACACGCCGGCACCACCATCGTACCCATCTTCTCGCAGTGCCAGCCGCCCTTCGAGGGTGACAAGGAGTGCATCGAGTCGATCGTGAAACGCATTCAGACTGGCGGCGATGAGGTGGTCAAGGCCAAGGCCGGCAATGGCTCCGCCACGCTGTCAATGGCCTACGCAGCCGCCCGCTTCACCAACGCCTTGATGCGTGGTCTCAAGGGCAAGTCCTGTGCGCCCGAGTGCGCCTACGTCCAGTCCGACGTTACCGACTCCCCGTTCCTCTCCACTCCACTCACCTTCGGTCCCAGGGGCATTGCGAAAAACCATGGCCTGCCCGAGTTGGATGAACGCGAAAAGGAGCAGCTGAAGGTAGCCGTTGACGCCCTGAAGAAGTCCGTCTCTACGGGTGTCAAGTACATGGAATAAATGTCACTCTCCCTCCGATAGTGCCATATCTAATCCAAGCAACAAAAGCACAGAGAAACTTCAGAGACAAATTTAACAAAACAAAATTTTAAATGTGAACCAGAAAATAATTTCGTTTCACGAATCTTTGCTGCGGCATCCACCTGGATAACTATGAGAAGAGCGTCGAATAGGTGGTGATGGGAATTGAGTTGAAGTCTCGGAAGAAGTTGCGTCTATCTCCTACCATTCGCGTTCGCGAAAAGCAGATTAATCTCGATGTCCAGAGTCGTTGGCCCACAGCGAGTGCAGGAGTCATTTCGGCGGCACCCAGCTGGACCGCTTTCAGAAGGGTAGCGAGTAACCCTACCCTGGATGGATACACTTGGTTTGTGCTCCGATTCATTCTTTCCCAACTAATCAATTTCATTAATTTACTTTAAACAAAAACTTTACTTTAACAGTTCTGCTCGATTAGAGGAACAGTCGCATACAAGGTCTTCGCCGGTAAGTCACTCTATATTGATGATGAATCGGAGATGAGAATAAATATTTGCAGGAATCCCCGCAAAATTGTAGCAAACATCCATCTGGGGTTCGAGTACCTTTCACGGATGCAGAAACATTTTACAAGTGAGTTCTCAATGCAAATTGATGATATTTCTGTGCTCTGACTCTGTTCCCATTTGCAGCTGCTCGCTACTCTGCTGATGGACATTCAGTTGGGTGCCGCACAGATGATTTTTACACTCGCTGGTGTTCAATGACTTGCGGATCGGGGACCAGACGCTTTTCGAGCATGCCACACACACACTTGCCACTTTGTGTCCTGCGGATATCGCTGGCAGGAAGGACATCAACGCAATCAACTAACTCAATCCAGCCGAACACCTTGGACCCCAGTCCAACTCCACACTCAACTGCAGCTATTGACTCTTCTGCTGATGGGCATTCAGATCGATGTCGCACAAATGATTTGCACCAAATAAAACATTTCCCTCAAACTAATTGATTGATGTTGGCTGGAGATTGGCCATGGTCTGTTACATTTCCAGCGGCTGACGTCAGACTTCGTCTCAGACCTCAACTCCTGCTGTAGTAGCAAGTTCCTTATGCGTTACGGGTATATTAATAACGTGTATGGCCAGGTTTTTGCATCAATGATTTCTGCTTTCGGTTTGGGTATTATGGATTCTATTCTTTGGCCGATAATTTAGTCGCGTGAACCGAACCGAGTACCCAACCCGTGAGTTCAACCCACAGCTAAGGAGCAAGCGTAACAGATTCTCGAACTCACACACGTTCCAACTGCTGTTCGTGTTAGAAAGCAACAAGTTAAGTAATTCCACAGCTGAGGGTTACGAGAGTGTGTGAAGCATTCACTCTGATATTTGACAAATATTTTATTTATAACCGATCTACTCATAGAACAGGCTCATTGGGTGACAGACTTGGGTGTACATTCATTTGCTGCGCTATGTTTGCGACAGCGATCGATGTCTTGCCCGGTGGGTATCTGCTTCAGCTCTTTCCAGAAAAACTCCTCCAATAGCTGGCCATTTTTGTAGACCGGATGGTCAGGCTTATTGAATTTGAAGCAATTGTGAAGGATCAGCATTACGTCGGACACCGCCTCACCGATATGGTGGTAGAAATTGTTGCGAAGTCGTTTCTTTATGGTCTGTAGGCCCATGGGCTTCACGACAATCATGTAATATTGTGGCACCTCGAGCATGACCACGTCCACCGGTTCCAGGAAGTCCTGGCCGAAGTCACTCCTGGCCGCTACCTCCAGTATAGCTATCTCGAAGCAATTCAACTTTTTTGAGTACTTGCCCAAATTGCTGGGCTTTGGTCCCACCATGGGCCGAACTCGAGTCAGTACACGACCCGGTACGGGTTGAAGCTGGAGCTGAGGCTGGATCAGAGGCTGTTCCTAAGGGCACAATGTCATTGGAAGTTTGATTGTTAGGAATATCTTTCTTACTG